AATCTCAAATTTTGGGGAAAAAAATCCCAGAATTTGGGGGAAAAAATCTCAATTTTTGGGAAAAAAATCTCAATTTTTGGGGAAAAAAATCTCAAATTTTGGGGAAAAAAATCCCAAAATTTGGGGAAAAAATCTCAATTTTTGGGGAAAAAAATCTCAATTTTGGGGAAAAAAATCTCAAATTTTGGGGAAAAAAATCTCAAATTTTGGGGAAAAAAAAAATCTCAATTTTTGGGGGAAAAAAATCCCAATTTTAGGAGCAGAAATCCCAATTTTAGGGAAAAAAAATCCCTTTTTTTTTGTTTAATCCCAATTTTCAGGGGTCCAACTCCCAAATTATTTGGGAAAAGGATTCCAATTTTGGGAGTGAAAATCCAAAATTTAAGGGGGAAAAAAAATCCCAGTTTTAGGGGTGAAAAGCCCAAAGGTTTTGGGAAAAAATCCCAATTTTAGGGGTGGAAATCCCAATTTTGGAGTGGAAAAAAATCCCAATTTTGGAGTGAAAAAATCCCCGTTTTAGGGGAAAAATATCCCAATTTTAGGGGGAAAAGATTCCAATTTTGTAGTGAAAAAAATTCCAGTTTTGGGGGAAACAGATCCCAATTTTAGGGGGAAAAATCCCAATTTTAGAGGGAAAAAAAATCCCAATTTTGGAGTGAAAATCCCAAATTTTTTGGGAAAAAAATACTAATTTTAGGGGCGCAAATCCCAGTTTTTGGAGAGAAAAATTCCCAATTTTATGGCAAAAATATCCCAATTTTAGGGAAAAAAAAATCTCAATTTTTGGGAAAAAAATTCCAATTTTAGGGGTGAAGATCCCAAATTTTAGGGGGAAAAAAATCCTCAAATTTTAGGGGGGGAAACACCAAATTTAGGGGGAAATTCCCCAATTTTTGGAAGGGAAAATTCCAAAATTTTTGACAAAATTTTCCCAAAATTTTGGCGGGAAAACCCCAAAATTTTGGGGGGAAAATCCCCAAATTTTGGGTGGAAACCTCAGGGGTTGGGAGGTGGGCGGGGCTTCAAGAGGAGACCACGCCCCTCATTTAAATGTATCAGAAACCACCTTTGGGGTGAGACCACGCCCCCCAATTTGCATACAGGGGTTGTCAATAGTTCACCGTGTACTTCTCCTTATTTTACATAAATTTGCATAAAATAAGCAGGCTGTGCCCCTTAATAGCCACGCCCCCCTCATTTACATAAAGTTATCTCAATCATTTCTTTATTAATTACTCCATAGTGGAAACCACGCCCCTTAATTTGCATAGACGAGTTGTCAATCACTACGTGTATCCATTCAGATAGCTGAAACCACGCCCCCTAATTTACATACAACCTGCCAATCATTTCAGCCTGAACTGATCTCAACGGCAGAAACCACGCCCCTTCATTTACATAAAGGCACTGTCAATCATTTTAGTATGAATCGAGCCTAATGGTGAAAACCACGCCCCTAATTTGCATACAACCTGCCAATCATTTCAGACTGAACTGCTCCCAACGGCAGAAACCCCGCCCCCTTCATTTCCATAACGGCGCTGTCAATCACTGCCCGCTCACTATAGCAACGCGACCGCGCCGCTCATTTACATAACCCCGCCCCTCCCATTCACCTCCATTCCGCGAAGCCCCGCCCCTCTATTTAAGCCCCGCCCTTCCATTCATATAGGCTCTGTCACCACGCCCCCCGTGCGTAGCCCCGCCCCCCGTGCGTGCCCCGGAAGCGCTGCTGCCGGAAGTGCCCCGGGGCGATGGCGGCCATGGCGGCGGCCGCGGCGGAGCCCCGGTGAGGGGGGAATTTTTGGGGAATTTCTGGGGATTTGGGGGGGAATTTTGGGGGAATTTCTGGGGATTTGAGGAATTTAGGGGGGATTTTGGGGGAATTTTGGGAATTTGGGGAGATTTTGGGGAAGTTTGGGGGAATTTGGGGGGAATTTTTGAGAAATTTTGGGGAACTTTTGGGAATTTTTGGGGAAAATTCTGGGAATTGTGGTGGATTTCAGGAAATCTTTGGGGAATTTTTTGAGGGAATATTTTGGGGAATTTTAGGGGAATTTTCTGAGATTTTTAAGGGAATTTGGGGGGAATTTTGGGGGAATTTTTTGGAATTTGGGGGGAATTTGGGCTGTGCAGTCTTTTGGGGGATATTTTTAGGGATTTTATGGAATTGCAGGGAATTTTGGGTTCTGAGTGAGTTTTGGGGGGATTTATGGGAATTTGGAGGGATTTTTTGGTGGATTTTTAGGGTTTTGGGAGGATTTTTGAGACATTTCAGGGAATTTTGTGGATTTTTTCTTAAATTTTGGGGATTTTGAGGGCTTTTAGGGGATTCTTGAGAGGCATTGGGGAGAATTTTGGAGAAATTTGGAAGATTTTGGGGGTCTTGGGGTGGTTTTGGGGGGAATTTAGAGGAATTTCGTTTGGATTTTAAGAGATTTTGGAGAGATTTTGAGGAAACTTGAGGGGATTTTTAGAAATTTTTGGGAGAATTTTGGGTTTTTCCACCCAAAATTCCCCTGGGGGGAGCTCAGGAAGCTCCGAAATTTTCGGGGTTTTTTTTTTGGGGAGGATTTTTGGGCTCTCCCTGATGGAATTTGGGGATTCCCGAATTTTGGGGTCCCCCCAAATTTGGGGTTTGCCAGGTGATCCAGTACCAGACCGTGCGCTACGACGTGCTGCCCCTGTCCCCCATCTCCAGGAACCGCCTGAGTGAGTCCAAAAACCCCGAAATTTGGGGAGAAAAACCCTAAAATTGGGGTGGGAAATGCAAAGTTTGGGGAGAGAACCCAAAAATTCCAGAGAAAATCCCAAAATTTGAGGTGGGAAATCCCAAAATTGGGGAGGAAATCCCAAAATTTGTGGTGGGAAATCCCAAAATCGGGGAGAAAATCCCAAAACTGGGGTGGGAAATGCAAAGTTTGGGGAGAGAACCCAAAAATTCCAGAGAAAATCCCAAAATTTGAGGTGGGAAATCCCAAAATCGGAGTGGGAAATTCCAAAATCAGGGAGAAACTCACGTAATTGGGGAGAAAATCCCAAAATCAAGATGGGAAATCCCAAAATCGGGGAGAAAATCCCAAAACTGGGGAGGAAATCCCAAAATCAGGGTGGGAAATCCCAAAATCGGGGAGAAAACCCCAAAATTGGGGTGGGAAATCCCAAAATCAGGGAGAGAACCCAAAAATTCCAGAGAAAATCCCAAAATTTGGGGTGGGAAATCCCAAAATTGGGGAGAGAATCCCAAAATTTGGGAGGGAAATCTAAAATTGGGGGAGACAGCTCCAAAATTTCAGAGATAAACCCAAAATTTGGAGAAAAAAAGCCCGAACCTCCAAATTCCGTCCCAAACTTCCAAATCCTCCCCCAAATTCCTAAATTTTTCCCCCAAACCCCCAAATTTTGCCCCCAAATCCTGGAATTGTGCCTCTAAACCCCCAAATTTTGCCCCAAATCCTAAAATTTTCCCTCTTAATCCCCAAATTTTGTCTCCAAATCCCCAAATTTTCCCCCAAAACTCCAAATTTTCTTCCTTAGTCCCCAAATTTTGTCCCTAACCCCCCATATTTTTCCCCCAATACCCCAAATTTTGCCCCCAAATCCTGGAGGTGTGCCCCTAAATCCCCAAATTTTGCCCCAAATTCCCAAATTTTGCCCCAAAACCCCCAAATTTCCCCTTAAACCCCCAAATTTTGCCCCCAAATCCTGGAATTGTGCCCCTAAATCACCAAATTTTCCCCCCAAACCCCCGAATTTTCTCCCCCAAACCCCAAATTTTCGCCCCAAATTCCCCGATTTTGCCCAAATTTGGGGGATTTTGCCCCAGACCAGGTGAAGAGGAAGATCCTGGTGCTGGACCTGGACGAGACCCTGATCCACTCCCACCACGACGGCGTCCTGAGGCCCACGGTGCGGCCCGGGACCCCCCCCGACTTCATCCTCAAGGTCTGGGGCCATTTGGGGGAAAATTCCAGAATTTTGGGGCATTTTGAGAAGATTTTGGGGGATTTGGGAGGGATTTGGGGCAGTTTTGGGGAGTTTTTCTGAGTTTTTTTGGGTTTTTCGGGGGTTTTTGGGGTATCCTGCGGCCCACGGTGCAGCCCGGGACCCCCCCCGACTTCATCCTCAAGGTCTGGGGCCAAATTCCGCAATTTTGGGGCTTTTTGGGAAAAGTTGGGGGCGTTCTGAGGGCTTTGGGGCAGTTTTTGGGGAATTTTTGGGGTTTTTCTGGTGGATTTTTGGGTTTTTTGGGGTGTCCTGAAACCCACGGTGCGGCCCGGGACCCCCCCCGACTTCATCCTCAAGGTCTGGGGCAAAATTCCGCAGTTTTGGGGCATTTTGGGAAAAGTTGGGGGGATTTTGGGTGCTTTGGGAGGGATTTGGGACAGCTTTTGGGGAGTTTTTTGGGTTTTTGGGGGGTTTTTGGGTTTTTTTGAGGCGTCCTGCGGCCCATGGTGCGGCCCGGGACCCCCCCCGACTTCATCCTCAAGGTCTGGGGCCAAATTCCGCAATTTTGGGGCTTTTTGGGAAGAGTTTGGGGGATTTTGGGGGGTTTGGGAGGGATTTGGGGCAGTTTGGGGGAATTTTTAGGGATTTTGGGGTAGTTTTGGGTGGGATTTAAGGTTGTTCAGGGGGGATTTTTGGAGGGTTTTGGGAATTTTGGAAAATGTTGGGAATTTTGGGAAGATTTTGGGGGGATTTTGAGAGCTTTGGGAGGGATTTGGGGCAGCTTTTGGGAATTTTTTTGAGGTTTTTTTTGGGTTTTGGGGGGTTTTTGGGGTGTCCTGCGGCCCTTGAGTGAATTTTGGGGGTTGTTTTGAGTCTGATTTTGGGGTCCTGGGGCTGGTTTTGGTGTCTTGGGGCTGATTTTGGGGGGTTTTGGGTGGAATTTTGGGGTCCTGTGGCTGATTTTGGGGTCCTGGGGCTGATTTTGGGGTCCCAGGGCTGATTTTGGGGGTTTTGGGGTGGAATTTTGGGGTCCTGAGGCTGATTTTGGGGGGTTTGGGGTGGAATTTTGGGGTCCCAGGGCTGATTTTGGGGTTCCTGGGGCTGATTTTGGGTTCCCAGGGCTGATTTTGGGGGTTTTTGGGTGGATTTTTGGGGTCCCAGGGCTGATTTTGGGGGGTTTTGGGTGGATTTTGGGGTCCCGGGCTGATTTTTGGGGTCCCCCAGGTGGTGATCGACAAACACCCCGTGAGGTTCTTCGTGCACAAACGGCCCCACGTGGATTTCTTCCTGGAGGTGGTGAGTGACCCCAAAAAGCCCCAAATTCACCCCAAAATCCGCCTCAAAACCCCAAAAATCCCAAAAAATCTCCAAAATTCCCGATCCAGGTGAGCTGGGGGTGTTCACGGCCCCAAACCCCCACCTGAGACCTCCCCAAAACCCCCCAAATTTTCACTTTAACACCCCAAAATTCCTCTAAACACCCCAAAATCCCAGGAATTTTCCCAAAATTTTGGGAATTTTCCCCAGGTGACCAGTGGTGCGAGCTGGCCTGGCCAGCATGGAGATCCACGGCCCCAAATCCCACCTGAGACCCCCCCAAAAAACCCTGAAATCCCCTCAAATCACCCCAAAATCCCCTCAAACCAGCCCAAAATTCCTGAATTTTCCCAAAATCCTGGGAATTTTCCCAAAATTCCAGGAATTTCCCCCGCATTCCAGGGAGCCAGTGGTAGGAGCTGGTGGTGTTCAGGGCCAGCATGGAAATCCATGGCCCCAAACCCCACCTGAGACCCCCCAAAACCCCTCAAATTACCCCAAAATCCCTCTAAACACCCCAAAATTCCCCAGAATTCTGGGAATTTTCCCAAAATCGCGGGAATTTTCCCCAAAATTCTGGGAATTTCCCCTAGGTGAGCCAGTGGTACGAGCTGGTGGTGTTCATGGCCCCAAATCCCACCTGAGACCCCCAAAAAAGTCCCCAAGATCCTCTCTAAACACCCCAAAATTCCTGAATTTTCCCCCGAATTCCTGATTTTTCCCAAATTCCCTGGAATTTTCCCCAAATTCTGGGAATTTCCCTCAGGTGAGCCAGTGGTAGAAGCTGGTGGTGTTCAGGGCCAGCATGGAGATCCACAGCCCCAAATCCCACCTGAGACCCCCCCAAAAACCCCCAAAATCCCCTCAAATCAAACACCTGGGCAGGTGAGACATGTGACCCTGGAATACAGGTAACCCTGGGATAGACGCACCTGGACAGGTAACCCTGGGATACAGGTAACCCTGGGACAGCCTCAGCCGCCGCTACTGCCGACAGGTGAGCCACACACCTGGGCAGGTGAGACAGGTAACCCTGGGATACAGGTAACCCTGGGATACAGGTAACCCTGGGATACAGGTAACCCTGGGACAGCCTCAACCACCGCTACTACCGACAGGTGAGAGCACCTGGGGTACAGGTGAGACAGGTGAGACACACCTGGGCAGGTGAGACAGCTGAGACACACCTGGGGTACAGGTGAGACAGGTGAGACACATCTGGGCAGGTAACCCTGGGATACAGGTAACCCTGGGACAGCCTCAACCGCCGCTACTGCCGACAGGTGAGCCACACACCTGGGGTACAGGTGAGACAGGTAACACTGGGACAGGTGACACTGGGACAGCCTCAGCCACCGCTACTGCCGACAGGTGAGAGCACCTGGGCAGGTGAGACAGGTGAGTGACACACCTGGGCAGGTGAGACAGCTGAGACACACCTGGGCAGGTAGCCTGGGATAGACACACCTGGGGTACAGGTGAGACACACCTGGGCAGGTGAGACACACCTGGGGTACAGGTGAGACACACCTGGGGCACAGGTGAGACAGGTAACCCTGGGATAGACACACCTGGGTACAGGTAACCCCGGGACAGGTGTGGGAGGGGTCAGGGGCCAGCCTCAGCTGGCGCTGCTGCCGGCAGGTGAGAGCTCACCTGGCCAGGTGAGACTGCGACAGGGGAGGGGCTGGGAGGGGCTGCCTGCCCCAGCAGTGCCGCGGGCGTGGCACAGGTGAGCTGGGCGTGTCCCTGGGCGTGTCCAGGTGAGGTGGGCATGGCACAGGTGAGCTGGGCGTGTCCCTGGGAGTATCCAGGTGAGGTGGGCGTGGCACAGGTGAGCTGGGCGTGTCCAGGTGAGGTGGGCGTGGCACAGCTGGGTGGGCGTGTCCCTGGGTGTGTCCAGGTGAGCTGGGCGTGTCCCTGGGTATGTCCCAGGTGCTGTGGGCGTGTCCCAGGCATGGTGGGTGTGTCCCCAGGTGTGTCCCAGGTGGGGTGGGCGTGTCCCCGGTGCAGTGGGCATGTCTCTGGGCGTGTCCCATGCACGGTGGGTGTGTCCCAGGCACAGTGGGCGTGTCCCAGGCACAGTGGGCGTGTCACAGGTACAGTGGGCGTGTCCCAGGCGCAGTGGGCGTGTCCCAGGCACGGTGGGCGTGTCACAGGTACAGTGGGCGTGTCCCAGGCGCAGTGGGCGTGTCCCCCCTGCGGTGGGCGTGTCTCTGGGCATGTCCCCGGTGCGGTGGGTGTGTCCCAGGCGCAGTGGGCGTGTCCCCGGCACGGTGGGCGTGTCCCCCGTGCAGTGGGCGTGTCTCTGGGCGTGTCCGGGGCATGGTGGGCGTGTTCCCTGTGCGGTGGGCGTGTCTCTGGGCGTGCCCGGGGCGCGGTGGGCGTGTCCCTGACGCGGCCCCGCCCCCAGCACTGCACGCTGGAGCTGGGCAGTTACATCAAGGACCTGTCGGTGGTGCACAGCGACCTGTCCAGCATCGTCATCCTGGACAACTCCCCCGGCGCCTACCGCAGCCACCCAGGTACCCAAAAAGTGCCAAAATAGCCCCAAAAAATGTTCCCAAAATGTCCCAA